ATTGGGAACACTTAGGGCCATGCTCTTGAGAAAACTAAGCAGATCTGGACCTGGGTGTGGAAGGGAGGAGACACCAAGTTACAGGTTTATAGGTTAGAGCAGAGCTGTCAAACTCGCAGCCTATGCACTGGCCACGCCCACACCCGGTTTAGCAAAGGGGGGAAAAGTCACGATAAATCATGTGATGTGATGACACAAGTTTGATACCCCTGGTTAGAGTCTAACCATTAGACTGACAATTTGAAAAGACATCCTGGAACAAAGGCGATATGCCAAGAAAAGTACATACCCACATACCCACTGGGTTAAATTCTGCTTGAAGAACTTTTTAGTTCTTTGTTTAGCCATCATATGCAAACTGCAGAATGATGGCTGAGAACAAATCCCAATATGAACAGGGGCAAGAAAACAACTCCCTTTCTCCTGAGCCTGTATATGGTAGCACACATTAAAATTATAAACTTTGTCAAGGGCAACTGATTCCCCATATCTACAAATGAGAAATACCCTTGTTGAAAGATAGATGACCAGCAGAAGGCCATCCAAGACAGTCTTTTTAAGTCAGAGATCTCACGTTAAGACTTGCCTACTCCAGATTAACAGGCTCACAGAGTACAAAAGAAACACCTTGTTGAAAAAGCATCATAGTTCCAGAGCTTCGGAACTATGGCATTTTTATGAAAGTAAAGTCATGTTCATGCCAGCTGTCAATCCACCTATGTCTGTTTTTTTTAAAGACTCTGGGTCAATATTCTGGTGATTTATTCTGAATGTGAAAATAATACATTCAAGGGTAGATGGATTAAGTGATGTTAAGATGCTGATGTTGTGGGAAAGCTTTAGATGGATGCCACAAGGTGGCAGTCAGCTGTATTTAATAACATAAGCTTACCCTTATTTCAATAGCCTTTCGAAATAAGGCTTTGCCAACGGAACAGCTTGGAACTCAAATTTTGCATGAAACACAAAAAAACCAATGAGACAAGATTAGGAATATTTGGGAATGGTCCAGTATTCTACATATTATAGCACAAAGATTACAAAATAAAAATAAGGACTGCTTTGGGAACAGGAAGAAACCTGAAGAAAGTTGAAAGGAGCAAGCTACTCCATCTCTGATGAAATGAGTGAGCTAGAACTCATTAAAGTTTATACCTTTTAGTAACATTTGTTAGTCAGAAATGTGCCACCAGATTCCTGAATCCTCACTTCCATAGACTAACAGAGCTCCTACAAGGTTCTTTAATGTTACTCACCTGTCTTTAATTTAAAAAAAACATGGGAAAGGCAAAAGGGCAAACCTCCAGCACCTTTATTTACATCAATGCTTCCAGATTTTATTTAAGACCCATAGGGCTTAAAAGGTTTGGATATGTTTGTTTGGAAATGGGTCAGAGGCAAACAGAAGCTATGATAATGGAGCATGCAAGCTGAGCTGCTAGGAAGACTTAAGAGGAATTGTGAATCAAGCTCAACCTATTGGTCCACTGCTACAAGATATTTTGGTGCTTGGGATATGGCTTTATAATCCAAGGTATTTTTGAGAACATATCTCCTCATGTGAGTATCAGTCCATACAGCTTGCCTAGTCTGTGATGCTTAAACGGTCCTTCCTTGATTTAATCAGAAGAATCAAAGCAAACAATTGTCTCTGCATCTTCAACGGGAATCTTCATCTGAATAAAATGTTTTATTGCCATTTTTGTGGAGTGGTTAAGATGCCAGACTGGATACCTGGAGTCTGGGGGTTCTAGCCCACCTTAGGCATGAAGCCAACTGGGTGGGTTACTCATTTTCAGCCCTAGGAAGGAGGAAATAGAAAAACACTATAGAAAAAATTGCCAAGAAATTTGGGAAATTTCTCCAGGCAATTGCCAGGAGTCAACAATGACTCAAAGGCACTCACACCCCAAAATATGTTGTCATTGCATTAAACAGTACATTTAATGAAGGTACTTGGAAAAAAGTTGCAAGTGGAACAAAAAATACTAGTTCATCTTCCTTCAATTGGCTTGGTCTTACAATCATGAACATGTGTCACCTATAGGCCATACCAATATTTGGAAAATTTCCTCATTTTTTGTACTAGTTTAAAGAATAGTTTATTACTTAGGATGAAACAAGAAAATAGTTTCCAGAAGTTTATCTTAGTTTAATCATTCATTTCTCACAATACAACATTAATTGAAGTTTCAGAAAGATATATTTCAATAGAAATCCTTTTGCTATATTGCTAAAAGCATTTGTCAATTCCCTTATCTTTGTGAAATTCTCACCATAATGACAATCACAATGAGGCTGAATGGTGGGAGGAGGGGGAGGGGGAGGAAATAATCCTATTTCAGCCCACATTCCAATTGGAAAACATAGGTCACTTTGGCAGTTGCACAGCTCTTTTTGAAGTGTGTATGGCTACTTACATTCAATGTCTCAGGAAATCAATCTCTCCTTGTCCCTTTCCTTAATTTAGAAATATTGTAAATAATAACGTGTTCTAAGTAGCCTTCCACATACAGTAAATCAGCTCTACAAGGTTCCCTAAAAATTCACAGCAGGCTGAGAACCTTCAGGAGAAAGGAAAATCTACTTCACTGGCACATATGATAGACAACAGACACAACAACCAGAAAACAATTTCACTTACAAGTGATGCATATCTTTGAAAGATAGGTAGAGCGAAAAAATTAGTACCTAACATCTTGGTTCTGACCACGTAGCATCATCTCATTTATTCAGAAATGAAACTTTTAATAGCAGCAACACATTACAAAAACTGCTAGTAAAAGTGTCAAAGGAGTTTTCGTTCCAGAAAATGGGTCATTAACTATGCAAAGTATTTTACTACAGTATAAAGCTTTATTAAAGCTTTAAATATTGAAATCAATATGATGCCTTTCAAAAGGCAAACAGAAAAAATCTTCACAAAGATAAATACAACATCCATTTTCACAATTTTCTCAAGAACTAAAGCTGTTCCAGTAATTTTTGCATGAGATCATAATAACTTCTCATTCTAATGTCATTCACCATCAAACTGAACTGAATCTAATTCCAAAATGTTTCCCTTAATTATCAGCTACCAAAAAATGTATCTAAAGTTGTGAATAAAACCAAAGAAACCAAAACCAAAGTAGCATTTATTTTGATTAGCATGTTTTATTTTGGCAGAAATGTCCATACAAGAAGTGTGTTGGTGTCTGTCTGAAGAACAAATTCATTTTTACAAGAGATTTACAATATTTTTTTAAAAATAGTTATATTGTACAAAAAAGAACATGATCCCACCAGCATGGAAGTATATATTAGTGATGAAAATGAACAGTATAAACCAGGAATGAAACATTTTCTGAAATTATGTTTAGATCCTTTTTGCTTCCTCTTTCAATAGCCGCCTACTATCTATTGAATAGAGTTCTGAAGCTCATGTTTACTAATGAATTCCATATCAGCAACATCAAGCAGGATTCAATGTGGTGCAATGGATACAATAGTGGACTGGGAAGCATGGAGACCCAAGTACAATTACAATCTGTCTGTGGAATCCTTGAGATGACTTTGGGCCAGTTACTGTTTCTCAGTCCAATCTATCTCCCAGTGTTATTGCTGCAAGAATATAAAGGATAAAAACTTTCTAGACAAAAAGTGGATATAAATGTAGTATGTCAGTGTTTGTACTTAAAAGATACTATGAGAATATTAAAATCTGTCACAAAGACAGCCATTTAACCAAAGGGATCTGTGCTATGATTTGTCATATTTATCTATTCTACATCAAGAGTCTGACTAATCCATTGAAAATAGAATATTGTTGAAAATTGCAGAAGGGGAAGTAGTTATAAGTTGTCAGTGACCTACACAAGGTGCACTGATATAAAGTTTTGAGAATTTTACAAATTGTATAATGGTGAGGTATAAAAGAGACTTAACACTACATATTTTATTTATGATACTAAATGGTAGTGCAAGTTCAACATTCAGCAGGATGTATTTAATATTAGTTTGTCTAGCTATTCTTATGTATTTGAAAGGCAAGTATATAAATAATTCTTATACCAACTAACAAATGTAATGGTGACAAATTTAATGATAACAGTAGCATTCAGATAATTTGGAGAGGTAACCTATATCTTCTCACCAACAGAACAGCATTAGCAAAGCTATATTCTACAGTATTATCCCTCCAAAATCTACTTCAAAAGGATGACCTAACTCCTGGTGTATATTTTAGAGACACTAAAGTAAAACTACTATAAAACTGAATATTGACCAGTGTTCCATATTTAGAAGGGGAATTATCAGAACTAAATTTAAGCTTCCAAATAAGCCCTAGATTGAGCACTTCATGCATTTGTTATCATGTAAAAGCATTTAAATTTAAAACTATCTGTGCAATTGAATGTGTCCCAATACACAAAAAGCCACATAACAATACTGGCAGTGGTATTTGTACACATTGATAATATATTTGGATAGTTTACAAAAGCCACCATCAGCTCCAAAAATGATAGCACCACAATTTTTATTTAGTTTTTAAAAAGCACATCTTCCAAATTAGAATCAATTTGTTCGAAGTTCCTTTAAAGACTGGTTACATTTAGAACAGCTTTCAAATTTAAAATTGACAAAATCTATCCCAGTCGTTTTGTATAATAATATCCATGAATTTATCTTGCAGCAAGAAATACCGTATTTCCTGAAGTAGAAAGAAAGTCATGCAACTGGAAAATTAAGGAAGGTATTATTAGCATGTATTGAAAAAAACTCACGTATTATATACCTGTCCATTTTAGTAGTATCATGCAATTACTATAGAAATAAGTTTAACATTGATTGCAACCGTTTTAACATGAGTCAAGTATAAACCCAGCTGTGGATTAAAGTGCAAGTATCTGTGCCAAAGTTTTAGAAGGCAGAACTGATACCATCACAAATGGTTATATAACTAACCAGAAGTGCAGGCAGTCTTTTATATGTTGTAACCAAGCTTACTCCATTTTTTCCTCAGCTACCAACCAAACATGTATTCCAGAGCTTTGGACACAATGCTTTCATCTTTCCTTGGAGTCTGTCTGTCAGAAATTACCTACAAGAGAGACAAATTTAAATAAGTAGTTGTTCCATGATTTTTTTAACCAAGGCCAATATCTTTTATTCAAAAAAAGTGACTAGTATTTCTTCACCATGTTATTAAAAAAAATACCTGGTAATCACTACTTGATGCTTTATATGCAGTAGCTAGAGGTCTCATGGTAGAAATCCTTTGTGTGCTTGAAGGCTGTGCTTGGGCAGCAAATGGTTTCATTGGAGGTGTGAAGACTGAAGCTGGGGATGATGCAGTGCCTCTATCTAGATTTTCCATCACATTCTAGAAGATCAAGGAATACATTTAGGGATGTTTCTAACCAGTATTAAAGCTTAAAAAATATTGGAAGACAAAGGAGGGCATTAGTCTCTGCTTCACTACGTAAGTTAAAGTAAAGGACGAAGAGCCATCCTATACTTACTTTAACTTGAATTCCTGCACCCAGAAGGAACAGGCCTCTAGAGCCCAAATGTCTCCCTCCAATTCTGATTCCATGAGAACACTAAAAAAGTCACAAACCAGCCATTTGGTTCCCCAAGTTGATCATCTGCACCTTAGGATAAATTTTAAATTAGGGGTCATTGAAAAACTTGAGTGGTGCAGTGGCCTCGAGGGGGAGCTCTCGCCTCACAATCAGGAGGCTGTGAGTTCGATCCTAGGTAGCGCCAGATATTTGTCTCTCTGGGCACAATGAGTAAATATCAGCTGTGAACTCTGCACTGGCGAAAGGAAGGGCATCTGGCCAGTAAACACTCAGCTCCATTCAGTTGCCCCGACTCCACCCTGATGCAAGGGACTACAGGGACATTAGCAGACCAAAAAAAAAACACCTTGAAAAAATTGATTTAAGATATTAATAAATATTAATAAATGTTTAATATTCTGAACTAAGCTGGATGAAAATAGTGATTTTCTTGGACTAGAAACACTTGTGTTAAGTTCACATTCGTTATTTACTTCCATATTAATTTTCTAATATATTAAATGCTATCCATATAACCTGCAATAAAATGAAATAATTACATTATTTTCATTTCTTAATATTTCTTCTAGCTTTTTCTCCTGATTTAAGAGGTACAATATAGGTAGTCCTTGACTTTACAATCACAAGAGTCCAACATTCCTGTTCCTAAGTGAGACATTTGTTAAGTAAGTTTTGCCCCATTTACCGCCTTGCTTGCCACAGTTGCTAAGTGAATCACTGCAGTTGTTAAGTTAGTAATACAGTCGTTAAGTGAACCTGGCTTCCCCATTGACTTTGCTTGCCAGATGATTGCAAAATGTGATCACATGACCCTGGGACACAGCAACGGTCATAAATATGAGTCAATTGCCAAGTATCTGAATTTTGATCATGTGACCCTGGGGATGCTGCAATGATTGCAAGTGTGAAAAATGGTCATAAGTCACTTTTTTCAGTGCCGTTGCAACTTTAAACAGTCACTAAATGATCTGTTGTAAGTCAAGGACTACCTGTGCTATTAATCACATTTACCACCAAAGATTGGTTCTGACATTGCATTCTCCACTCTGTTTTAGGCTATTTCTCATGCTTACAACACCATCTAACAACAACTCACTTTATCAATACAAGGTTTAACTCCAATCATGATAGATTCTCCAAATATTCTTCCATCTTTGCTCAAGGCTTTCCGAGCCTGTAACTTTGACTGATATCGAATATGCATCCAATTTCCCGTATTAGACATCTATATAGACAATATAGGAAGAATAAAATTTCAGAGTCAAACTAAAATGGCCATTAAGCATTAAGCAAAAGCAAAAACTACACATCTAGCCTTACCACATGCTTTAGTATGTTTCCATACTGTGCAAACTGTAGCAGGATGTATGAAGCAGATGCTTGTGGAAATCTGTAATATCAGTAGAAAAGACTTGTATCACTATTTGAAACCATAAATAAAATATACAGTATTCAGTCTACCTCAACGCTATATCACTGACAAGAGTCTCAGAAATGCATACAAATATACTATGCCCAAGTCACTGATAAATCTCTGAGTAGCTCCTTACTTGCTAGCCCATTTTATAGCGTACCATTTGCAAAGTTAGCTTCACCTTGCAAATTATATGCTATGTATAATGGGCTACAAGTCTATATGAAAAATGTTACCTTAATTTACAATCAAGGGAGAGGTTTTGGGGAACAGCATAATCTCATGGGGAATATTTTTATAGATAGGCAAACTAAACCACACACATAAAAAGAGAGCAGTTTAATGTTTCTGCCTTCAAAGTAACTGCTTACTTTTCCCTCTCAATAAAAACTAAGGGATTAACTTTTCCCTGCTTGTTTTTATCCTTTCAATCTAAAAACTCCATCTGCTTTCTTTCTTGCTAATTAATGGCTGCTCCCTAATACAGCAGCCAACACTACTTCTGGGTCCAAACCTCAATATTTCAATGCACAAAGGGAGAATTAAATGTTGTAACGACAACTACAAATAAATCTGTTCAGAAGTTTGATTATTCCCTTGTTTCATTATGTAAATTGCTTTACCAATTATGTTTATGAAAGTCTAAGCACACCTTATTCAGCTTAAAAAAACTGCATTGTATATTGCAACCTCACGTACTCTCACTCTCGCATTTTATAAAATTCATTCTATTCTCCTATAAATTCAACATCCCTAATGCAAAAACTCTACGCCGATTAAACCATGGTAGCCAGTTACCCTCCTATTTATCATATGGAACTGCCAATCACTGACCCAAACACTGTTACCCAGGTGTCATCAAGTTGATCTTCTGATGTCAAAGTATCTCCTTGAGTATAGAATGGATCTAGCTGAGCTGGTGACATGGTAGTTTTTCTAGGTTGTGCAAGACTTGCTGGACTAAACACACTTGCCCCTGTCAAAATATAATGAAATGTACCTTATAAGACCTCGTAGTTAAAGGATGAACTAAGTATCCAAGCTAAAATAAAAGATAGGCACAGCACATTAAACTATTTTACTGGTTAATTTTTGAATTCATGCTTACCAAATTCACAGAGTTTTAAACTGAAAAAAGAGAAATGGTGATGATAATAACGTGATGTCTCAAGGCCAGTAAAATGTTACTATTGTCAATACTTAAGAGGTATAAAGTTTATAATAAACTTTTCATCTTGACTGCCAGCATTTTACATAAGTAAAATAGAAAGCAAACAAAGTAACTTACAAGAGGAAGACTTCTATCAGTGTCAGGCATACAGGTGAAACTCGAAAAATTAGAATATCGTGCAAAAGTTCATTTATTTCAGTAATGCAACTTAAAAGGTGAAACTAATATATGAGATAGACTCATTACATGCAAAGCAAGATAGTTCAAGCCGTGATGTGTCATAATTGTGATGATTATGGCTTACAATTCATGAAAACCCCAAATCCATAATCTCAGAAAATTAGATTACATGCAATCAATAAAACAAGGATTGTACATAGAATATCGGACCTCTGAAAAGTATAAGCATGCATATGTACTCAGTACATATGGGCCCCTTTTGCAGCAATTACTGCCTCAATGCAGCGTGGCATGGAAGCTATCAGCCTGTGGCACTGCTGAGGTGTTATGGAAGACCAGGATGCTTCAATAGTGGCCTTCAGCTCTTCTGCATTGTTTGGTGTCATGGCTCTCATCTTTCTCTTGGCAATGCCCCATAGATTCTCTATGGGGTTAAGGTCAGGAGAGTTTGCTGGCCAATCAAGCACAGTAATCCCACGATCATTGAACCAGGTTTTGGTGCTTTTGGCAGTGTGGGCAGGTGCCAAGTCCTGCTGGAAAATGAAGTCAGCATCCCCATAAAGCTCATCTGCAGAAGGAAGCATGAAGTGCTCCAAAATCTCCTGCTAGATGGCTGCGTTGACCCTGGACTTAATGAAGCACAGTGGACCAACACCAGATGACATGGCTCCCCAAATCAACACAGACTGTGGAAACTTCACACTAGACTTCAAGCATCTTGCAGTGTGTGCCTCTCCATTCTTCCTCCAGACTCCGGGTCCTTGGTTTCCAAATGAGATGCAAAAGTTGCTCTCATCAGAAAAGAGGACTTTGGACCACTGAGCAACAGACCAGGTCTGTTTTTCTTTAGCCCAGGTAAGACACTTCTGACGTTGTTTGTTCAGGAGCAGCTCGACAAGAGGAATACAACATTTGAAGCCCATGTCCAGGATCCATCTGTGTGTGGTGGCTCTTGATGCACTGACTCCAGCCTCAGTCCACTCCTTGTGAAAGTCCCCAACACTTTTGAATGGCCTTTTCCTGACAATCCTCTCCGGGCTGCAGTCATCCCTGCTGCTTGTGCATCTTTTTCTTCCACACTTTTCCCTTCCACATAACTTTCTATTAATGTGCTTTGATACAGCACTTTGGGAACATCCAACTTCGTGTGCAATTACCTTTTGAGGCTTTCCCTCCTTATGGAGGGTGTCAATGATGGTTTTCTGCACAACTGTCAGGTCAGCAGTCTTTCCCATGATTGTGATTCCTACTGAACCAGATTGAGAGACCATTTAAAGGCTCAGGAACCCTTTGCAGATGTTATGGCTTAATTAGCTGATTAGAGTGGGACACTTTCAGCCTAGAATATTGAACCTTTTCACAATATTCTAATTTTCTGAGATTGTGGATTTGGGGTTTTCATGAGCTGTAAGCCATAATCATCTCAATTATGACACAACATGGCTTGAACTATCTTGCTTTGCATGTAATGAGTCTATCTCATACATTAGGTTCACCTTTTAAGTTGCATTATTGAAATAAATGATCTTTTGCATGATATTCTAATTTTTCGAGTTTCACCTGTAAAGTAGGGCAAGAATTTTAAAAATCTGGTAAAAGTTAGGTTGATATAATTTCAATAGGAAATATATATCAGCCCATAAATTGTGTAATGATCCATATAGAAATTAAATAGATCAGATAGTCTTGAAGTTTCCCTTGCCGATAAATTCTTAATTAAATGTCATGAAAAGAAAATAAGTAGATGTCATACCTGTTCCAGGAGTTATTGGCAGAGACCCAACATTTGGACTCTGTATTACAGAAAAAGTGGCCTGCATGAAAGTACAATGTGAGTTAGAAATTGTTTTAAAAGCCAGAAAATAAACTCCTTAAGGCATGTTTTATTTTAAAATTAGCCAGTACAATTCAATTCAAAAATATACTTGCATGTTGTTTTTGATAAAAGCAAATAAAATCCCAAGATTGAATTATACAGCAAAATATGCTGTATAGCATATGTATAGATTATTATTTTATAGGACCTCATATGCAGTTTACATTTTCTTTGGGGCTTGATCACAGTTGAAGTGCCACGCTTTTCTACTGAGCAATAACAGAAGGCAAAACTGAGTAATTTGATCCAGTATTGTCTTAAAATAGGTGATAATTCAACTGAGTGTAAAATCAGATGAAGTCATCAGTATAAAATGTTTACTGCAATGTCAACTAGTACAAATAATTTTCCAGCAACATAGGGATTCCAATATAAATGTATATAACCACTTCTCAGCTATCAGGCTTGGATTTCTGAAACTATTAATTGCATAAAAATATTTCACATACCCAAATGTATAATATCTTTAACATACTGTGGCACACACAAGATCAGCAAAGCCTGCAATAGCCAGGAAAGTATTAAGTTCTTCCTTCATCCCTTTCTCTTCCAAAGGCAAGAATTTTTATTCGTGCAACATTAAATACTCCCATGAACTTAATGTTGATGCATTCAAATCCAAATTGTGCTCTTTGACTGCATATAGGAATGTTTTCTGAGGATGGTAGCTTTGGGCTCAATATAGCAAATTCTTCTATTAATTCTATGTCTTTTTCCAAGATTCAATGAATTACAAAAACATTCCACATTCCTTTATGCATTAGAGCAGGGCTGCCAAACTTGTGGTCTGCGGGTGCATGCATCACATGCTGGCCCTGCCCCTGCCAGGTTTAGGGAAGGGGAAAAAAGTCCCGATACATCACGTGATGACGTGACAACAAAAGTTTGACACCCCTGCATTAGAGAAATATAGTGGCTCTCAAAACAGTAAGTGCATTTTTCATTACCAAGTATAGTTATAAAAATATTTACATGTGATTAACACTGAAGTAAGATTGATAACAAGGATAATTATAATTGTATAATTTCATCATATACATTCAGTTGTGCTATAATTTCAGGGGAACAATGATGTGCCGTTGCTATGTATTAATATAGCCAAATGGGATCTACTAAGAAAGAGAACAGCTGACTTAGCATCACTTTTTATGCTAGGCAATGAAAGTTATAGATTCCAACCCAGAAGTATGAAGAGAATTTTACTTCATTTCTTTTATTAAATATGGCATAGTATCACAATTGTTTTGTATGCTCAGTTCACATTCCAGAAAGGTTAACCCTATTGTAAGGCCTTTATAAAGGAGTTATAAAGTTACCAATTCTTCCCCCTTCCTTCCCCCCCGCTTGTAGACAGCTTTTCCAATTTCCTCTGCTGTTCCTGCTCCCCCCATGACTTGCATACATAAAATGGACCAGGCCCAGACTAATGCACGACCCAAACGTTTATTAAACATATGCTGCTCATTTCGCCTAGAGGTAAACACGGTTATGTTTTCAATGCCAAGATAGCCTTTTTAATCCTATCAACAAGGAGAAAAATGAAATAAAGACCTCTCCTAAAAATTCATCCAGGAAGCAGGTGGTGAAAAAAAAAACAGAAAAACCACATTCTAATCAAGTACGCATACAATTAGCTCAACATTCTATCCTTATAGTGAGGCAACTTTACCTTGACATAGAAAAATATGTTTTCCCTTGTTTAAACACTTATTTCACTTATTCCACATGTGACCATAAATCAAGCCTTTTGGATTTCTCACCATTCAAACCCAAAATGCATAAAAATATGTCATTCTATTGTTCAGAGTCCCTCTTTCTTGTAAAGCAGGCACCCAATGATCATTGAATGAAGCTCAGCCATTTCTCATTATTGTGCTCTTTTCTTCAATGGAAGTTCTACAACATTGCCAATGCAGAAAAATATCATTTATCACTTGCGAATTTCAGTCTCGCTTTGCAGCTTCAAGGGAATTACTTACAGGCCTTCGTGAAGTCAAAGGTGTTGATCCAAGACCTGGGCTAGCTACTTCATCATAGATACTTCTTACTGGAGGAGCACCACCTTTATCTTTGTGTGTTGGCACTACTGGTTGTGGAGGAGATCCACCTAAGTAAACATATAATATTAGAAATAGTTAGCATAGAGTTTTCTGTAATCATTGCTATCTTTTTGTAATTGAAGTGATTATCATGAATAAAACAATCTTCTGCATGAATAAAGCTATGTAACTATTTGTGAACCTTGTAAAAAAAAAAAAAGGCTGAAACTCTGGAAACTGGCAAAAATGTTTCAAATCACGGTCACGTAAGTAGTTCTAGGGAGGTCTATTGTCATTTCAAACAGTCATTAAGCAAACAGTCATAAATCAAGAACTACTTGTACAATATGGACAGTATCACTGTGCTCCAAAACAAATTCATTCTCTTAAGGGGAAAAAAATTCTGAATTACAATTGTGGGAATTGCATTTGTGATTATAAATCCTAAGTATTTTTCTCAGGGAAGAACAACATTATATATACAGCAGTTATGAGGTAAAATGCAGTGTTTTGGAAATTCAGTAACATGAATATCAGTCAAGTTGAACAGACAAAAAGTTTCTTTCAAGTGATTCACCCTAGAAAATACTTACAATACAATACACACAAGGGCTCTTTTGCTATGCCAAAATTAGCTTGCTTCCTAATGTTTTTAATTTAAAAATAAATAAATAGCAAAGACATGTTCTCAGCAAACACCAGTAGCCACTTACCCCTATCTCAAGTAAACCCACCCTCAATACTGTCCTAGGAAATTCTTGGTGAATTTTTGCCCTTTGGGGCTACTAGGAAAGTATTTTAATTCAGAACCAGCTTACCAGCAAGCATTGGTGACCTCATTTCCATTACACCAACTGAAGGACCACTTAAAGAGCGAGGCTGCGGGGTCACTGGAGTCGGCAAATCACCCATCAGAAATCCAGGCAGAAATTGAGCACCAGCACCTGGTTTTGGTGAAGAAGGGGATCCTAATGCCATTGGCTCAGCACCTGTGTTACAAAAGATGGTTCACATAAGAATTACATTCAGCCTCTACCAAATATACTACAGTACAGGTGGTCCTCGACTTACAACAGTTCATTTAGTGACCGCTCAAAGTTACAACAGCACTGGAAAAAGTGAGTTATGACCATTTTTCACACTTGCAACCTTTGCAGCACCCCCTTGGTCACATGATCAAAATTCCAACCCTTGGCAACCGACTCATATTTATGACAGTTGCAGAGTCCTGAGATCCTGTGATCAACTTTTGCGAACTTCTGACAAGCAAAGTCCATGCGGAGTCCAGATTCACTTAACATGTCACTAACTTAACCAATGCAATGATTCACTTAACAACTGCGGCAAGAAAAGTCATCAAATGGGACAAACTCACTTAAATGTTTCACTTAACAACATAAATGTTGGGCTCAATTGTGATTGCAACTCAAGGAGAACCTGTAGCTGGTTGCTAAATTCTGAGACCTTAAAACAAAAGAAACAAAAATATAGCTTTCCTATTGAATACAACTGGCTTGTTAAGCATTACCCTTCTTTGCAACCACGATAAAAGGAATCCTTGACAACAGTTCATTCAGTGACTGTTACAAAGTTACAACAGCAAACTGAAAAGTGCCTTATGACCATTCTGCACACTTACAACCACGGCAAGCATCCCCAATGCTTTCACATGATCAATATTTTGGCCGCTGGTTCACATTTGTGACGGTTGCCGTGTCCCGGGGTCACGCGAACTGCTTTTGTGACCTTCTTGCCGAACAAAGTGAACAAAGTCAACAGGGAAGGCAGATTGACTGAACAACAGTGTACTCTAACGCAACAACTGCAACGATTTCACTGGGGCAAGAAAGTTCATAATATGGGGCAAACCCCTCTGGACAAACGTTTTGTTTAGCAACGTGAATGGGGGGGGGGAGACAATGGTGGTCGTAACTCGAGAACTACCTGCATTGCAACCGCAAATATTTGAATCCAAGTTACTCTATCCCTAGACAGAACGACGTTCCCTCCGAACAAATAAGGGACGATTATAACAGTCGTTAAGATCAAGTTTCTCCCCACCACCAGTAACTTTTTAGAGCAAAGAAGCGTTCGGCAGTCTTGACAGCGTACCTAAGCCAACAGGTCTAAAAACAGCTTCCCGGACCTTGTTTTGAACCCGTTTGAACTCGTGCTTCCCCTCAAACGCCCCTTCCTCGACCCAGCGCTAAACCAACGACCCGCTTTCCTTCCTCAGGCGCCCTTGCAATCTTTCCGCCATGCAGGTCTAGGTGCAAGTGACGTCACAATCGGGGACTCCCCCCCTCCCCTCCCCGCGAGACTCAGGGGGCGTTCTAGAATCCCACCTCCCGCCCCCCAGCCCGTCACTGGGTCCCAAATGGACGAGCCCTTGACGTGAGGCAGAGAGAGAGAGAGAGAGAGAGAAACGACCGGCAACAAGCACACCTCCCCTTCCCGCCTTCCTCACAAAGTCCACTTTAATTAATCTCATATAATTTCATTAGGCGTCTTCTTCGCCCTTAACCCGAGACGAGGCTCACCCAAAGAAGGGGAAGACAGCGGTAGCTCCATAGCGAAGGCAGCCATCCACGCCGGGAAAAGCAGCAGCCCCTGCCAGACCGGCCGCGTGCACAGCCGCCGCCTCTTTCTTGCCTCAGCCCGTCACTTTCAAATGAGGCGGAAGTGCCGTTCTTGCCCGCGGTGTGGGGGGGGAAAGAGGCAGACGCCACTTCCTCACAAGAACGGACCATAAAGTTGAGGTTGTCGGCCTCTCCTATAGGTTTGTGACTCTATGGTCTTTTCCCTTCTGGAATGCGCGGAGAAACGAAAGTGTTCGGAACCTTTCGTTTTTTGAAGGCCGTTTCCGCCTGGGTTTTATTGCCTGGCTCGATTTCTCGCCTTCGCTCTTGGCCCAGTGGGTCTGAGGGAGTGGGCGTTATTCATGGCTGGTTAGAAATTAAAAGTTTTTTTGGAAGCTGCGGATTTTTTTTTAAATGACAGCGACTCTTCTGTGGAAGATGAAAGGCGGGATAAAAACTTCTTTACTTTTTTCAACCTCCATGCGCGGAAAAATAAGGAATTAAAGTTATTTAAAACATAAATTGCATCGTCAATACCTCCTGCTCTAGGATAATATGAATATTGTTTTATTGCGTGAGGTCTATAGCATCAACCTTGTGAACTCAACTCTGCTATGTATTCAAATTAGTGATTCATGAGTGTGTGTGTATAGGTGTATATGTATACAGCATGTGTATATGTGTGTTGTGTATGTGTAGATATATACTTTTAAGAGCAGACGACAGAATTTTATTTTTAATGTGGGCCACTGTGCTCATAGTAAAAAATGACAAGTTATTCTAGATCAGATAAGTAAGGTGGAGGAAAACAGTACGATTTCTAATATTTCCCCTTTGGAAAGAGTGCGTGGGTGTCCTGCACTTAAGCTGTGTGCTTCTTTACTCCTTTTTCTTAATCATGAGTTGTTGGCATTAAACCACCATGGCCCGTTTTCAAAGAATTTTTGAACAGTTGGAGAATGGAAGTGCGAGTGAATGTTGCATCTATCTGGTCCTAGAGAAGAAACAAAGAATTCTTAGGAAAACGGCAGCTGCACAATATCAGACTGACTTTTGCATTTGAAAGACTATAAGATGGTTTAAGCTTAGGAAATGAAGTGCAGGAGGAATATCTGCAGAGATATTCTATAATGTCTGCAGAGATATTCTGTGATATCTAATCATCCACAAGCTTCACAGAGCCACTTTTCAAAGAAAATACTATTGTAAACGCAGTTTCAAATATCCTGTATGAGAAAGAAAAAGATTTAGCTCTGAAACCTCAGTAATTTGCATAGAATTGCCATCAGTGATGCAATGCCACTTTGGGGAAGGATCTGATGGTAAAAGAATAACTTTACAGTAATTACAGTGCTATTATATGAACCGATACTGATGCCACAGGTCATCTCATTAATGATTATATAATTGTTAGTTACATCATGGCATCAATGATAGATTATTTGTGGCATTACCATGAAGAGATCATGATCTTACTTTAATATATTCATGTAATCTAACAATCCTAGGAATAGATGGCAGTTGGAGTTGATAAATTTTGAAAGATCCATTTTATAATGTGATTTAATACTAGCATTCAAATATTGTAAATATAGGAAGGGTCGGGCAAGTGAAAATCTTAATATCCTTTCAACATGACCAAGACATTATCCTCAAATTTAACATTATGGAACTGGTTGCAACCTTTCTGTAATGAGTAGTAGTGCATTTTTAATGATAACAATAATTTTTTAGTATTTAGTATTTATTTGATTTGTCAATCGCTTACAAGATACAGGTATAAGAATAAATATAGTTTTGAATACATGAGAGATACTTATAAGAAAAATAAAAAAACAATAGGACAGGGATGGTAGGCACAATTGGTACGCTTATGCACACCCCCACAGGCCTCTTAGGAAGGAGTTGAGGTGACTTTCGGTTTGCAAGGTTTCGGCGGCGGCAGGGATTCGCGATACTGCGCGATCCCTGCTGCGTTCGCCGCCAAGGTTCCCCTGATCCGTTTGGATCTGGGGGAGATAGCTGCCCCGTAGAGGCAGCTGAAGACAGGGGGGATCCGGACAGGGGCTTGGGGGTGTCGCAGACCCCCTCTCCAGCCGGCAAAACCCCCTTTTCCCAAGGCGGAGGAACGGCGGTCAGCAATGGCCGCCACGAAGAAATCTGCAGCCAGACAAGCAGGTGCAGGAGGGAGAAAGCTGGAAGAAATATGAAAGCTGCTTTCAACCGGGACAAAGCAAGAGAAAGTGACCTGGAAACTTGAGGGCTGCTAAGTATACATTGTTTCTTGTGAGAGTTACAAGCTGCGAATATCCTAAAAGGGGAAGTTTTTTTTTTTTCGTTTCACTCTCCTTCCTAACGTGACAGCGGATGGGAAAAAGCTTCTTGGCTGTGAGTGGGAAGGGAGAGGGAAAAAAATTGGAGCAAAGTTTGAAAATAAGGAGAAGATTGCCTAGAACTTTAAAGAGTTACTAAACATCAATAAGGCTTCTAAAATATATATTTTAAAGGGAACTTTGTGATTAAACTTTAACCCCAGAAAGAGAAAGTGAAGAAGGAGAAGGTATTTAAAAGAAACAGCTTGTTTGGATTGTTTGGTGATTTTGGAACTTTTGAGAATTATTTCTGATTAAAAGCATTTGGGTGGTTGTTTGGAAAAACTTTTTCTCTACACAATGGCATCACTTGTGGATGGACTGAAACTTGTATATCAAAAATATGAAAAAGAAAAGCAAGAAGGGAAAGATGTCCTTGGCACTCTTTTTCAATTCTTAGAAATGGCGGTTTATACTTATGTAAAGCTGAATGAGCAACAGGATGGTGGGGACAAAGAAGAAGCCATCTTTGATGAACAAATAACTTTGGTCGGAAAAGGGAAAAAGAAACAGAAAAAGGAAAAGAAGACTTTAAGATCTGGAAAAACAACCCAAAAAAAGAAGAATAAGGTGAAAAGGGGACATTATGTTAGGAAACAACAGAAAGGGGGAAAGCAGAATAAAAGGGAGGTGGAGCGACAAGGGGGTAAAGAGGACAAGGAGAAGAAGAAGAAGCAAGGGAGAAAGGAAGGGATGAGAAGCCTTAATGGTGGGGAGATAATGGATAAATTTTATTGAAAAAGGGATTCTAGAAAGGTACACAAGATTGCATTTTTATATTTGTATTTAGAAATAACCATAGAAAATTGGAAATAATATGTAATTTAAAATGTGATAAAATATTTAGTATAACCTAGTGAAATTTTTGTTAAGAAAAAGGGGAGAACTGTAATGAAATATGATTTAAGATACGTGATGTGGGGGGGGGGAATAATTTTGGAAAGCATAAGTGTTCCCACAAAGGCATGATATTTAATTGAAACTTTTTGTGAAATGAGAGATTTGAAGTAGAAGGAGGAACATTGTAATGAAATAATGAGCTATAATATGTGATGGGGGGGGGGGATAACTATGGAAAATAGGTGCTCCCATAAAAGTATGTGATTTAACTGAAAAGTAATGTGTTAAATGTCTAAGATATAAATGAATATCAATATTAATGAATAGATTTGTATTGGTTTTGATAATATAGTATAATTTTAGAATGTACCAGACAGAATCCCAATGAAAATTATGTGTTTTATATTAAGTATTATAAAGATGGGGGAAAGAGATAAAGGCATCATACTCCATTTAGTGTATAGGAGAAGGTTTTTTTCAAAGAAGAAAGATAAATGGATAGCTGGAAATAGAACAGACAAAGAATAATAAATATTATGATTTGAATTGAGAGGAGATAAATAAAATAAAATTGAGAAAATTTAAAAGAGAGGAGAAGCTATATAGAAAATTGAAAATGTTAATAAGATATGAAATGGTATGTAAAATGAATATGAATTTGAATTTGTGTCTGTACCAAGAGTTTTAACCTGGGACCAAGCAACTTTCAGAAAAGAGATTTTTTATGTTTTGTGTTTTTATGTATTTATGTTTTGTATGTCTTTAAAAATTAATAAAATTTGTTCCAAAAAAAAAGGGGGGGGGAAGGAGTTGAGGTCAATAGTAGACAGTCTAAGGTTAAAGTTTTTGGGGTTTGGGGAAGAAACCACAGAGTCAGGTAGAGTATTCCAAACATTGACCACTCTGTTGCTGAAGTTGTGTTTTCTGCAGTCAAGTTTGGTGCGGTTAACCTTGAGTTTGTATCTATTGTGTGCTCTTGTATTGTTATGATTGAAGCTGAAAGTATTCATTTGCAGGTAGGACATTGCAATGTATGATTTTATATACTATATTTAGATCGGACCGGAGGCAGCATAGTTCTAGGTTTTTTAGGTCTAGAGTTTCAAGTCTGGTGGCAATGAGTAGAGGAGCGGAGAACCCTTCTTGTGAAATATTTCTGGACTTTTTCAATCGTGTTAATATCAGATACATGATATGGGTTCCAGACTGATGAGCTGTATTCAAGTATAGGTCTAGCAAATGTTATGTATGCTGTAGTTAGTAGTGTGATATTACCAGAGAAGAAGCTACGTAGGATTAGATTAACAACTCTTAATGCCTTTTTGGCTATGTA